TAGCTTTCCCAATGTCTTCCTGACTACAATTAATTTCACTTATTCAGTGGTGAGTTGAAATTTTTTTCTTTTTTGCTCGTGGCTGAGAGGCCACGAGGTTTTAAAAAATCAAAAAAGTCAAAAAAAATATGCCCATTAAATTTGAAACCGGGGAATATCCTCCTATTGTTAGTGCTATCTCTTTGCCCAAGAATATTTTCCCCAAGGTCATATTCCATAGTGAAATTTTGATTTTTAATATTCCTAATTTACAACCCCCGTTATTTTTACTATGCTCCAAATTAAAACTACCATTTTAGATATAGAAACTAAATCCGACAAAAATAATAATCCTTATTTTCGCCTTAGTTTACAAGGCTTACCCGGTCATTATTTTTACGCCTTTAGTCAAGATTACAATTTAAAAAACACCACTACTTTATGCACTCTAACTGAGGCTCCACTCAATTTTATAAATCGTCCAGTCTTGATTACTTATGAAGAAATAAAAGGGAGAGATAATTTGCCCCTTTGTAAAATTAAACGAATTGAATTGAGATAATTTACTATGCCAGAAAAAATAAAAAATCAAGTTCAACCGGCCCCAACTGCGATAGACTGTTCACAATGTTGACTAGAAAAATTACCCACCGAGAAAATTATTGAGGAATTAATTAGGCGGAAATTAATAACTCTTGACCGCGAAACTATTAACTTCACCAAGCAACTGATTGAAGAATTAAAAAAATAACCCCTTCCCTCTCATTGACCAAAATATTTTTTTACTATGCCTAAAAAGAAACTTCAAAAACAAATAGAAAACAAATTAGAAAAGTTACAAGAATTATTAGACAATATTGATGAAGCCAGAAATATCGAACCTGATGACCCTGAAACCTGAGATAATGATACTCTTTATAATTTAGTGGAAACTCTAAAAAAAGCCCTGAAATTATTAGAAGACCAAAACACACCTGGTCAGACGGATGAATATGGAGAACCAATAATTTTAGAGGCAGGATTATGCTCTCTGGTGGATGAATTTCAGGAAGAGGAAGAAGATTTTTAATATGCTACTTACCCTTTATTAGGTAAAATAATTTAATAAGTATTATGAAACACGCCAAACAATACAGTTCCACTGCCAAAAATCCTTTAGAAGACAAACAATGATGAGCCAAGTTTGCCAAAAGTTTGCAAAAGGATATTAAAACCACAGCAAAAAAGAAAAAAATTTCAACTCACCACTGAATAAGTGAAATTAATTGTAGTCAGGAAGACATTGGGAAAGCTA